CTGGGAGATCTGATTCAGCCAGAGGGTCGGAGGAGCTTCCCTGGGCAAAGAAAGAGTGAACTAAGATCTGAAGTACAGAAGTAGTCAACAAGTTGAAGAGGCTTCAGGCAGAGGAGATTTGGATCCTTCTGGTGGGGGAATGGCAGCTAAAGATGGAGAACTTAGACCAGATGGAGCTTTGAATGCTGCGTGAAGGATTTTTACATATCCTGAGCATGTTTTGAAAGCACTAAAATGACATGATCAGATTTTAATTTGCATGTGAATTTTTATAAATAATGGAGAACAGGAAAAATATTTAAAATTTCTTATTTGGGGGAAAGAGGAGAGTGTCTCTAGGAGGAGAAGAAAATCAAGAAATTTATGGTGCTGTCCAGTATCAGCAGGCCAAGGTTGGGAACACATTTTTGTTTTTCTGATAATCTAGGGATCAGGAATGGGGGTTGGGTACCCACGAGAAGGAAGAAAAGCTAAAAGGGAAGTTGACATGAGAAATTAGATAATTCCATGGACTAGCTTGTGTATAGAAAGAATATTCACTCATATGTACATATACTTAAAATAAAGTATGCATAATTTTCTCATAGAAATATTTGAAGAATTAGAATAGAATGATTTATTACCTGTGTTGCTATATGCCTGAACTTACTTCATTTTCTTGTGTCATGTATTTTTTTAAAATTGTGTAAAATTACAAGAGTACTTTTATTTTTCAGTTTTTGCTTTGCATGTAAATATTTCTATGGAATTGAGAACAATCACTTGGTTTTGAGGTTTTTCCTATACAGGAAAGATAAGAATAAAACAATGTGAAGTATTTAGACATGCATTTGCAAAGAATGGTTATTAATACTAATTTTTTAGGTTGAGTTTTGTGTTCATTCTCTTGACCATGCCCCAACCCATTAGATATGCATCATTAACAAATTCATACTGTGGCTTGAGCTTGATTATTGACTCATAGGGAAAGGAGACTGCTCTGTCAGGATCTCATGTAATAAACCAGGCTTTTCAGGAAAAAATAGTC